TATGTACATTACGTGACTAGAACACAAAGTACAAACATGAGCGCCCAACGATGCCCGAATCACGTACAATGTTTTTCTTATCCGAGGGCGCAAAGTGCAATTTTGCGCCCGTGGGCACACTTTGCGACCAGTGAATCACTTTGAGCCCTAGAAAAGCATTATAAAAAAATTCGATTTTCCTTACAAAAATATGGAAAACACCTGTTAGCTACACAGTGCTAGGAAAAAAGCTATTGACACTCATTTTATTTATTTTACTTTTTCTTCATCACAAAAAAGTAATTTAAAAATAAAAATAATGTCTGTGCTTACAAAATTGTGATCACTTTGCGTTCGGAGGCCAGAAAAGTACTTTGCGCCTTTCGGCCCCAAAATGATTCCTAGGGCGCAAAGCGGCAGTTGCACTTTAGGCCCATGGTAAGAAAAAGTACTTTGGGCCCTCACATTGCACTCGATAGAGAGAAAAGAGATTGAGATTTTTTACAGCATTGACTTGTGCGTTTGTCTTGTTATGATGTGGGACTAGAAAAGTGACCACTAAAAGGTGTTACGAAATGCAACAGTGTGATTTTCAAAGCGATTTTGGCTACAACCGACATTTCAGTTTAAATGATGGGTCATTTGGTATTTGATGAAAACTATTGCTTGTAAATTAAAAATTATTAATATAAATCATGGCATAAATGTAACGTACGACTTCCATCAATTGACAATGTAGTTTAGCATTTTCAACATAACTTCATGTGATTAGAATATTCAGTTTGAATTTCATGTAGTGACATACATGTAGCCCTGGACACGAAGTGAGCCACTTACGGCAGAATCACCCACATCTATATTATTTTTCAATAAAATTTTCCATTTGAAACCTGCAATTATGTATCCAACATATTCCTTTTTTTGTACACGTAATGAAAAACGGCAGTTGAATATACAATGGCAATTTTATAATATGTCTACAATTTTTATCAGATAAGTTTTTTAATAAAAAGTTTTTAAATATATTTTTGAATCATTGTTTTTTAAAACGTACACAAAGAAATAACGTAATTAATCCAACTTTGCTAAAAATAAAGCTGAAAGAATAACTTTATTAGAAAAAAAACGTTGAAATCATTATGCAGCATCAAACTGTTATCTTAAATTATTTTTAATGAAACCGTAATATCCTAAAATATTAACACATCATGGCATATACGAATATTAAATAATGTTGTTATAATTAATATGGTTACTGTCACTTTTTTTTTCTTTTCAGAGCGTGTAACTTACTCTACAATGCGTAATTTTAACATTAATTTGAATAAATATTTTAGTTTTGTATCTTGATAAACCAATTCTTTAGTTTTGCATTTTGATAAACCAATTTGTATAATCGTATAATAGTTTTATATTGANTATTAACTAAAGACGGGCACTATTAAACCAAGTCAGCCATTCACTAGCAGACGTCACCTGCGGAGTTGTTCTTCGCAAGGCTGGAAAACCCGGTGACTGACGACCCTGTATGTATTACCCTCTCGACTCTCAGCATTCAACCAGGAATCACTGATCCTCTCCAAGATCTGCGCTGGGCAAACCTATAACAGTTATGAAGGAAAAAAAACTTGAGCCAACGGGATATATAGCCTCCACTGGACAAGTATCACTAACCAATCTCCCCATCTAAGATCACCAAAACAACTGAATCTGCAAATAAAAAAAGAGGTTTAGACACCAACGTCTTCGACGTTATACCGGGAGACGTTGGGAATGAGCACTACAACTAGCCCCAAAGCTTCGGACTTTGTAATTTTTCTCCCAAGTAGTCTGGGTTTTCAACATCAGGCCAGAGAAGATCACCCTGAGGTATTCAGGCAGTCACAATTGCTGTTAACTGCAGTCAAGAAAGAGTTAACTAGAGAAGCTCACCGGTCTTTTTTAGGGCCATCGAACGTCGAACTACATTGCCAACAAATACATTAGAACTTAACAAAGTTGACAGAAAACACACTTTAGGGGTCACACAAATTTTAAGCATGCCAAAAGTCGCTTGAGGGTGAATTGGAAGAAAAACTTCAAGTGTATCTAATAAATACAATTTTACTTAGGCGTCAAGAAACTGACGCAGAAAATTTATCGAGATTGAAACAGCAGCGTCAAAATCGACAACTAAAGAGTCCATTACGTGAGAGATCAGCTTTTCATTGTACCCTCACAGCAATC